CCTCCGCTACCTCTGCTCACTCCTGCTTCCTCCCTCTACCTCCCTCTCCTTTCTCCCCACTCACTCTCACTACCCTGCTTCCCTCCTCCTTCCCCCCTCCCTCCTCCCCACTCATCTCACTACCTACCCCTCCCTGCTTCCCTCCCCCTCTTCCCTCTCCTTTCACTCACTCTGCTGACAGCTTCCCCCCCCCCCTTCGAGCCTGTGGCTTCTCTCCCACACTCAAGGCTTTCCCTCCGCTACGCTCTCCCTCTCTCCCCACTCACTCTCACTACCTGCTTCCCTCACCCTTCTACCTCCTCCTTCTCTCCTCTCTCTCCCGTCACTCTCACTACTGGACTACCTGCTTCCCTCCCCCCTTCCTCCCTCCCTACCTCCCTCTCTCCCTTTCTCTCCCCCACTCTTCTCACTACCTCCTTCCCTCCCTCCCTTCCTCCCTACCTACCTGACTCCTCTCCTCCTCTCCCTCTCTCTCCCCCACTCACCTGTGACCGTGAGATGCTGTGCGCCCACCAGGACCTCCTCGCGCGACGCCGAGAACAGGAGTCGCCCCGCCTTGTCCCGAATCACGAGGCGGTTCGAGGTGCACTCCATCGCCTCCGTGTCTGGCGGGGGAAACGAGCCCAGTTTGTTATTATTCTTTTCGGGTTTGAGTTTTATGTCCGTTTGTGTCTATCTATCGGCCTATCTGGGTTTAAATGATATATTATTTATCTGTTTTTGTTTTAGTTATCTATATATTCGTGTCTTTGTGTGTAATCTGTCAATATTAGTGTATTGTCTATCTATCGGCCTATTGGGTTTAATGATATATTATTTATCTGTTTTTTCTGTTTTATCTTTCTATCCGTGTCTTTGTGTATGTTAATATTAGTGTCTGTCTATCTATCGGTCTATCTGTCTTACCTGCTTAGTTATCTATCTATCTGTGTATCCGTCTAAACGTATATGTCACCGTTTTAATTTCTCTAGCTATGTTTATTCATTAATATCTTTATATCTTTCTCAACGCATATTAATTATATTCATATCTAAGACAATCGACTTATTATATCTGTTCATTCATCTATTCTGTCTATTCCTCTCTCTCTTGCTCTCTTCCTTCTCCCACCTTTCCGTGTTTCTATTACATAACACTGACAAAAAATGACGTTGACCATTTCATACTTACAACAAGAAAGCCATTGACCCGTGATTGATGTCAACAAAGAAATTGAATGCAACTAAATCACAGAAACATAAAAAAAACAGACATAAGTAGTAGGAGGGTCGTGGCTTCGTCGTAATAAGGATCAATGAGACGCCACATTTCCATTAAGATTTATGTAGACATTATCAGGGTCTCACGTCTGGTTTATTTACTGTTTTTTCTACTGTTTTATTTACTGCTTTTGATTTATTTTGACAATGTTCTGTGGTTTGCTGTGAATAATGGAAGTATTGGTGTGCATTGGCAACTGCATGGGAGAGAGAGAGAGAGAGAGAGAGAGAGAGAGAGAGAGAGAGAGAGAGAGAGAGAGAGAGAGAGAGAGAGAGAGAGAGAGAGAGAGAGAGAGAGAGAGAGAGAGAGAGAGAGAAGAGAGAGAGAGAGAGAGAGAGAGAGAGAGAGAGAGAGAGAGAGAGAGAGAGAGAGAGAGAGAGAGAGAGAGAGAGAGAGAGAGAGAGAGAGAGAGAGAGAGAGAGAGAGAGAGAGAGAGAGGAGGAGAGAGAGAGAGAGAGAAGAGAGAGAGAGAGAGTTGGACTGAGGATAATAAAGATATTCTGATTTCCATTATTTTTTCTATATCTAATATCATTAATCATAAAAAGATAAGAAGTGGAATTTTCTAAAATGTGCCATAATAAACAGATTTTTTATGGCAAAATTATCACAATTATTATTAACAAGTAAATGTTAAATTTTGCAAATGTTTTATTGCAAACATTATTTAGATCGCCAAATATTTGCTATTAGTTTCTGACATTAAAATCAAGTATATTCCACGCTCTGTTTCCCTGTCTTGCTCTCTCTCCCTGACTCGTTCTTCTTCTGTCTCTCCGTCTCTGCCTCTGCCCCTGTCTGTCTATATCTGTCTCTGTCTCTTTCTGCCTTCGTCTCTCTCTCTCTGTCTCTCTCTGTTGCCATCTCTGTCTGCATGTCGCTTTTCTCTCTATTTCTTTCTCACTGTCCATTTACGTATCTCCTATTTCTGAAATAACCTGCATCGGCCGGTCGGTTAAAATTGTGCGAGGCCCAACCATATGAATATTCGTATATACAGATATGCAATTACATTAACTTTATCTATCACACACATATATATAGACACATTTACCTATCTATCTATACTGTAGATATGGATGTCTAGATTGATAGATATGCATCTATTTCGTTGTATATGCGTGTCCGTATAATGAATGTATTAACAAACCGGCCGGATATCTTTATTTCTATCTGTATTTTGACAGAGATACAGATAGGATTTTTCTGTCTAAGGGGAACTACAAGAAAAAAAGGAAA